CAATATTTTACTACAGAGGCTTGAATATGATGTTGGGATTACAGGAACAGCTCTAAAATGGTTTAAGTCAAATCTATCTGATAGATTCCAGTTTGTAAATGTAAATAATAAATATTCTTCATACACCAAAGTTAGTCATGGAGTTCCTCAGGGCTCAGTGCTTGGGCCAATACTCTTTATTTTATGCTTCCATTAGGTAAAGTTATTAAACAGCATGGGATCAATTTTCATTGTTATGCTGATGACACACAATTATGTTTGTCCATTAAACCCAATGAATCATATCAGCTACTTAGACTACAAGCATGTCTTAAAGACATAAAAACCTGGATGACCCTTAATTTTCTCCTGTTGAACAGACAAGACTGAGGTTTTGGTTTTTGGACCTGAGCACCTTAGGAATGAATGTTTCAGTCTTTCTCCCTCCTTAGATGCATTAATCTGTCCTCCAGCTCTAATGTTAAAAATCTTGGTGTTATTTTTGATCAGGACATGTCTTTTATCCCCCACATTAACCTTCCTAGCGGGGCGAGATCCCACACGCACTTATGATGTGAACGGGTCAGTTGTGACCCGTTTTAAATCAGCCAAAAAATGCCCTCAAAACAGTGTTTTTTTAAGAAGTATTAGAACACATCTCTAAAGGAACATCCCTGAAGGAACAATCTCCGCTTGTGGGGTTTTTTGGCGTTCCACCCCAAGTCAATCTGGGTCCACAAGACAAATGCATTGTATGCAGACACATCTAGGATGTTGTAAAATACAACCATTGGCCATCTCCTGGTCATTCGCTGGCAAGTGTAGGTGGCAGTCAGCTTGTCCAGGGTGTCCACTCCTCATTTGTTTTTATTGTAGTCCAGGATGATTTCAGGCTTTTTGTCACTTCTTGTTGACACAGCTGCATCTTTGTGAAGAGTGGACATAAGTACCACACTCCGGTTCTTTTTGGGACAGTATGAAACAACACTGGTGGTTTCTGTAAAAGCAAATTTTGAAGACAGTGGAGCCCTGTCTTTCACCTGCAAAATTTCAAGGGGCAGCTCAGGTTTGTTTTTTCTTATTGTGCCCACCATGGTAAGTTTCCTCTTGAGAAGTTCTTGTCCAAAATCATATCTGGTGAAGAAATTGTCACACGTGATATTGTGACCTCGCAGTCCAGTAGTCATATCAAGGATTACCCGTTTTCCTTGATTCTTCTCAGGGATGCCAGCTGCAAGTTTGCCTGTGTAAATCTGTAGATTCCAGGCATAGCTGGTTTTCGCATCACAGGCTGCCCAGATTTTTATGCCATATTTGCCTGGCTTACTGGGCATGTATTGCCGGAAGGGGCATTTTCCACGGAAAGGGAGAAGACGCTCATCCACTGTCACCTCTGGTCCTGGGTTGAACATCAGTGGAAGGAGCTTCACCCATCTATCCCAGACGTCTTTGATGGGAGCAAGCTTGTCAGACCGTGCTCTAGTATCTCTGTTGTCAAATCTGAGGACTCTTGAGATCATTTGAAAGGTCTGAAGTGACATTGTTGCGCGGAAAATACTCCTGCCTGTGGACACATCCCAGAGACTAGTAAGGGCCTCATTGCTGGATCTGTACACGCCAGCGAGAAGAAGAACACCAATAAAAGCATCCAGGCACTCCTCATCAATGTCTTTCCAAGTGTCACCGTGAACTTTTTTCCCTTCGAGGTTTGTCATAGCAATGATGACTTTCTTTAGTGACTATGGCATAAACAAATCAAAGCATGTCTTGATGTCACTTACTCGTGTCACAGCAAACCTTGTAATCCCAGGGGTCATCTTCATAACATTTTCAGCAGCTTCCCTGCCATGTGAAACAGGAGGAATCGCACTCCAAGTGATGTTACCCTTTTTGGATTTATAGGTTTCAATTACAGGAGCAGCTTCAGCACCTGTGCCCTCCTCATCCGACGAGTCTGTGTACTCTGATTCATATTCAATAGCATCGTCCTCCTCAGAAACTGGCTCATCTGTGTCACTAGGTGTGTCCTCTGCATCATTTTCAGCAAGGATGTGATCTAGAGCTTCTTGTACTGTGAATCTTCTCTTCATTTTGGTATGCAGCCAAGCTCTAGGTAAAATGGAGTGTCTGTTTCTACATGTCTCTACATGCCCATGTAGAGACACACCCAGGTGGGTGTGTCTATCTAGGTCTGCCTATCAAGATGGGCATGGCTATCCAGGTAGGCTTATCTCTACATGGGCATGCCTCAACATGTCTCTGCATCTACAGCTGGATGAACTTTTTCAGTTTTTGGGAGCAGAGTATGAGGGACTTATCAATAAAAGTAGTACGGATAAATGGGGATGTTTTGGTCAGTGAAGTAGACAAACAGGTAAAAACAGAAGGCCCTAACATATGTATGACAAAGTTAGTGAGGTCACAGTGTGTTTATGATTTCAGTTTTGACACTGATTATTGGTTGATAGTCTTATACCATAACTGGGTCACAAATGACCCCAGCGCGGCAAGTGCGTGTTGTTCTATAAAAAATAAAAATTAAATTTAGTGAAAAAAAAAAATATTTTTTTAATTTAAATAAAGGTTCCAGACAAAGTCAAAAAGCCTTGATGCAAAAAAAAAATTATTTAAAAGACAGTATCATGATTTAAAATTTAAAATGGGTCACTACAGACCCTAACATAGTAGGAAGGTTAAAAACATTACTAGAACCTCCTTCTTCCACCTGCGTAATATCACTAACATTAGAAACATCTGATCTAAAGATGATGCAGAAAAACTGGTCCATGCATTTGTCACGTCTAGACTGGACTATTGCAATGGTTTATTATCTGGGTGTCCAAATACTTCTTTAAAACGTCTTCAGTTGATCCAAAATGCTGCTGCCAGAGTCTTAACTGGAGTTACTGGGAGAGATCATCTCTCTCCAATTTTAGCTTCTCTCCATTGGCTCCCTGTCAAATCCAGAATTTAATTCAAAATCTTACTTCTAACCTACAAAGCTCTCAACAACCTAGCTCCATCTTATATTACAGATCTTATTCAAAAAGCGTTCAATACAAAAACAACTGGACTTTATTTGTAACAGAAGACGTTTCGCTCCTCATCCGAGGAGCTTTCTCAATTCAAAGAGCAGAGAGTGAGAGATACAGGTTATAAGGCTGAGGAGCGAAACGTCTTCTGTTACAAATAAAGTCCAGTTGTTTTTGTATTGAATGCTTTTTGAATTCATCATGTCCTGGATGACTGAGAATCTTCACCAGCATACAGATCTTATTGTTCCATATTTTCCTAACAGAGCACTTCGCTCTCAGACTGCAGGTTTACTTGTGGTTCCTAGAGTTTACAAAAACAGAATGGGAGGCAGATCTTTCAGTTATCAGGCTCCTCTCTTGTGGAACCAACTTCCAAGTTCTGTCCGTGAGGCTAACACATTGTCCAGTTTTAAAACTAGGCTTAAGGTTTTCCTTTTTGCTAAATCCTATAGTTAGGGTCGGCTTGGGTTTCCTGAGCTGTCCCTTAGTTATGCTGCTATAGGCTTAGACTGCTGGAGGACAAACTGACCACACTTTTCACTCTGCTGCTTCTTTACTTACTCTGCTCAACATTTGTAATTATTTTTTCGATCCTTAACATGTGTCTTTTTTGTCTTTCAGGTATACCTGGACCTGGACCTATATCTGGACCTGGACCTATACCTGGACCTGGACCTATACCTGGACCTGGACCTATACCTGGACCTGGACCTATACCTGGACCTACCATTCTGTGTTCGTCTGTCTCTCCTTCCTGTCCTCTCAACCAGCCGGTCAAAGCAGATGGCCTCTTGTCCTGATCCTGGTTCTACTGGAGGTTTCTTCCTGTTAAAGGGAGTTTTTCTTTCCACTGTCTCCACTGTGCTTGCTCAGGATGGGAGACTGCAACGAAGCCAAGATTCAACTTGTCTGCTGGATTCCTTAGATAGAGAACTTTACTAATTGGCTTTTATGTGAATGTTCCTGTAAAGTCCCTGAGACAACTTTGTTGTGATTTGGCGCTTTATAAATAAACTGAATTGAATTGAATTGAATGTGTGATCTTGTTACGACCTCGTCTGTTTCCTGCATTGTCCGGCCCCCTTCCCGTCTCCTTTATTGAACTACAACCTCTTTTCTGCCCATCGGTTTTTGGACTAAGGATTCTCCTCTGGATTTATTCCCTGACCTCAGCTTTCTCATGTATGACCCTTGCTCCACCACTTGGACCACAATTAAAGTTCGGATCTACTCTCAGCATTAAAGGCCTCCCTCTCTAGCTGCTTGCCCACCACTTATGGCGACATCATCGCCACCACTGACACCACTGCTGCAAGCTCTGGGAGTTGGCTCTGCACTCGTCCAACACTCCTCACCTATCTGAGAAGGTCATTTTCAGAGACCTACAGCCAACTAACAGTGAGAGGGTCCAGACTCCCACCAGCAGTTTTAACATAATAAAAATTGTTAAACGTCTGTTGTGTCCAGCTGAACTTGTGGGTCTTGTCTTCTTGTGTCATGAAGTGATGTAACTAAGAGAGACAAAGTGATTTTATGTTGCTGCAGCCGATGGGACCAAAGGAATCTGTATGTTCCTCTGATGTCTGGATGAAATGAAGTGCAGGACTTCATGGGAATGACAATGCAACTGTTGTTGAGCTCTTCGTGTAGTTAAATGTTAAATTTGTACAAGGTGGTCCTGTTTTTACAGGATCTTCCATCCATTCATCTTCTCGACTGTTTTGTGTTCAGAGTGGGGCTTCACCCTGGACAGGTCACCACTCCATCACAGTCTGTCCATATTTGGCTGCTCGAGTAGTAAAGTTTGCTTGAATAAAACGTCCATCCAGCAGACATCGTGCCACCTTCAGATCCTTCCTCAGGAGGCACCTTCTGCTGCCGCCGCCCGACAGCTGCACCGGTAGCTGATCTCCAGCAGCTTTTCTGCTCAGGATGATGGCTGATGAACGTTTGGGGGGGGGGGGGGTTGTGTCCTCAGCACCACTGTCAGGAGACCTGAAGGACAGACAGACGGCGTTAGGACAGAAACTCTCACAACGTCTCAGAGAATTTCACCAGACGATGGAACAAGACGGTTCACAAGAATCAGCTGAAACTGAAAGAAATGCAACATTAATGCTCAGCTGAAGTTTTTCTACAAGTTACTTTTGCCTTTTAGGCTTTTTTAAGATAACAATACAAAAAAGTAGAGAAATTGCATTTCCTGTGAAAATGCAGTATGAAGGCTATTGCTGAAGAATTTGCTTAAAAAAGCTGAAATAAGTTAAAAACATGCTGAAATGTAGCTGAAATGAAAAAAAAAACAAGCTTAAATTAGCAGAAGAAAGCAGAAACAAAAGATATTTGCTGAATTACATTCAAACAAAAATGACCACGAAAATTATAAAATCAGATAAAAAAAAAGCTGAAATTAGCCAAAAAAAACAGCAGAAAAGTAGCTGAAAAGGCAGAAAGAAGCTTAACCTATAGAAGGAAGTGGAAAGAGCTGAAATGAACTCAAAATATGTGGAATTAGCTGAAAAAGCTCAAATTTGTATAAAAACAGCAAAATAATAGCTGAAATTGCAGAAAAAGCTGAAGCTAAAAGAAATAAGCTGAAAGGAGCATAACAAGTTGAACTTGGGAAGATGTATCAACATCTGTATCAACTTCAACAAAATACCACCGTCATTTTAAATCAAGTTTCTCACAGTGTAGCTGCCATTGACAGCAAGTTAATCAACTTAACTCCTGCCACACTGCTAATCCACCTTCTGTTCCCAACTCGTCTCCTAGTCCCGTTTTGCCATTCAGAGAGTCAGACCTAAGACCTTCCGAACACTTTGAAGGTAATATCAGTCTTTGTGGGGGATTTATGCTCCAGTGCAACTTGGCCTTCGCTCGCTCCCAATCTCTGTTTCCTACTGATAATGCTAAAATAACTTACATTGTTTCTGCTCTAAAAGGAAAAGCTCTCCGCTGGGCCCAAGCATTTCTGACTGCTCATTCTCCTGATACTTTAACTTCTCAAGTTTTCATTCAAGAATTCAAGCTTGTATTTGACCATCCACTCCACCAGGAGGCAGCCGCAAAACAACTACTGTCATTACGACAAGGAAGTAAATCAGCAGCCGACCACTCCGTGGATTTTCGTATTGTTGCTGAGGAAGCTGGATGGGATGAACGAGCATTAAAAGGTACTTATATTAATTCTTTAAATGAGAACATAAAGGACCAGCTTACCTCTCGGGATGAACTCGGGAGCTTGGATGAATTAATCTCGCTCTCTATCTGCATCGACAACAGAATAAAGGAACGTAGAAAGGAAAGAAACTTCATTACCCACAATCCTTGGTATGTTTCTCGGTCGGCTGAAAATAGTGCCACCAGTAATCCTACACCACCTGAGTCTGAACCAGAACCGATGCAAGTAGGGCGAACCCGACTATCTCCTGAAGAGAGACAGAGACGATACGCCGCTAAAGTCTGCATCTATTGCAGTAACAAGGGACACTTTGTCGCCACCTGTTTGGTACGGGGAAACGGACTGGCTCGGCAGTAAAACAGGGGACACCGCCGAGTTTATCCCAAACCTCCCCTGCCTCGCTTCTGTCTGTCCCTGCCACCATACTTCACGACTAAATCAAACTCCCCATTTTTGCTTTTATTGATTCCGGTGCAGAACAAAGCATGATCTCCAGAGACTTAGTGGAACAACTCCAACTCCCCACCATACCACTCAACACACCTTGCTCCATCACGGGGTTAACTGGACAACATCTTGCCTAAATCTCTCACAAGGTCTCCAACTTTCACATTGTTGTCTCCGGCAACCATCATGAGTTGGGTGAGTTTCTTGTTTTTGATTCATCCCTGCCTCAGTTATTTTTTGGGTATCCCTGGCTCACCAAACACAACCCCAATTTTTATTGGTCCGAACGTCGGTTAGAGAGTTGGAGCAAAGAATGTTTATCGTCCTGTCTGAAGTCGGCTGTTTCTACTCCCGTTAAAGGGGAGGAACCCTCCAATGATATTGATTTATCTAGGATTCCCCCCGTTTACCATAGTCTGGCCCATGTTTTCAGTAAGAGTAAAGCCTTGTCACTACCCCCACACAGACCTTACGACTGCGCCATTGAACTCCTTCCTGATGCTCCACTCCCATCCAGTCGGTTATACAATCTTTCAGGCCCCGAACAGAAGTCTATGAAAGATTACATTGAGGACTCCTTAGCATCCGGCATGATCTGCCCATCCACTTCCCCTCTTGGGGCGGGATTCTTTTTTGTAGACAAGAAAGACAAAACCTTCAGACCTTGCATTGATTATCGGGGGTTAAATGCCATCACTGTGAAAAATAAATACCCCCCTCCCACTACTCGATTCAGTTCACGATCAGCTCCATTCTGCAACCATATTCACTAAGCTAGACTCGAGCAACGCATACCATTTGGTGAGAATAAAGGAGGGGGATTAATGGAAAATGGCTTTTAAGACCACCCTTGGACACTTTGAATATTTGGTGATGCCTTTCGGACTCACAAACGCACCCGCTGTTTTCCAAGCTCTCATCAATGACGTCCTTAGAGATTTTTTGAACGACTTTGTTTTTGTCTACTTAGATGATATTTTGATCTACTCCCGTGATAAAGAGGTACATGTTAACCATGTTAAGGCTGTGCTACGTTTATTTGAGAATCAACTATTTGTAAAGACTGAAAAGTGTGATTTTCACGTGACCTCCGTCCCCTTCTTGGGTTTCATTCTAGAGAAGGGACAGTTCTGCGCAGACCCAGAGAAGGTCCGAGCTGTCACTGACTGGCCAGCCCCTAAAGACCGCAAACAACTCCAGCGATTCCTGGGCTTCGCCAATTTCTATAGACGGTTTATTCAAGATTACAGCCGGATTGCTGCTCCCCTCACGCAACTTACCTCCACATTAAAGACCTTTTGTTGGACCCCTGAGGCAGACACAGCGTTTGGTGAGTTGAAAGCTCGTTTCTCTTCTGCTCCCATTTTGTGCCACCCTGACCCCAAGAGGCAATTTGTTGTGGAGGTTGATGCCTCAGATCTCGGTGTTGGGGCAGTCCTGTCCCAACGTTCAGAAACAGACAAGATCCATCCCTGTGCCTTTTTCTCTTGGCGACTCTCCCCAGCTGAAAAGAATTATGACGTGGGTAACCGTGAACTATTGGCTATCAAATTGGCTCTGGAAAAATGGAGACACTGGCTTGAGGGTTCCGGAACACCTTTTGTTATTTGGACTGACCATAAGAATCTAGCTTATTTGCAGAACGCTAAGCAGCTAAACCCCAGACAAGCCCGATGGTCCTTATTTTTTTGCCAGATTCAACTTTTCTACAACTTACTTACCTGGTTCTAAAAATGTTAAACCCGATGTCCTGATGCATGCTCAATAATCCAGGTAGAAAAATCCAAAAAAGTTCAATCTGGTCCTCTGGACATTAAAAAAAAACAAAAAAAACAACACAAAGCAAAAAAATATAGAAACGTTTCATCTCTCATCCAAGAGACTTCCGAGGCCAATGGAGTGAATGCTTCATGAACGTTCTGACAAAAATGTTTTAAGTTCATCTTAAAAAGTTAAGTCAGGTCCTCTGGACGGGTTCCAAAAACCAAAAAATTGTAGAAACGTTTCTTCTTTCATCCAAAGGACTTCCTCAGTCTGAGGAGCTGTATTCAGCTCAGTCTCTTAAATAGCACCGTCTCAGAGTGGATCAACCAGTTTGCTGCTAACAACCAAAATCAGCTGCTCACATGGTCAAGAAGGACCATCAGCCTAACAATGGATCATTAGCACCTGATGGCTGTTTACTGTTCACAGAGGGCTGAGTGATACTAGCAATCACAGCATTGTAAGAGGGGGACAGTTGAACCCGGAGGCTCCGCCCCTGTTTAATGATGGACGGTTTCTTTTCACAAAGATGGCCTCCTTTACTCCTCTCTCAAACCATCGTTCCTCTCTGTCCAGGATGTGAACATCTTCATCCCTGAAAGAGTGACCTCTGACCTGGAGATTAGTGTAGACCGCAGAGTCATTGTGATGGCCAGCGGCCCCCGCTGACCCCCCATTTGCTCACATATCTGCTCCTCATGCCACGTTTCTGCCCATCCTGCCATACTCCTGCCTTCATGCTCTTTGTTCTCCTGTCCATGTCACCTACCTTTCAAAAACACAAACTTTGTGTTTTTGAAACCATTAGTGAAAAGGCCAGACTTCAGGGGTATCTGAGGCAGGCTTGAAACACAAGAGTCAGGGTGGCTTCTGGGTAATACCAGATGGCTAGGCCTCAGACTGACGAAGCCTCTTGGATGAGGGGCGAAACGTTTCTTTTTAACAAAAAAACGAAGTCCAGATGACATGATTCAACCTTTTTTGTTGTTATATACCTGGATGACTGAGAAAACAAACTTTGATGCAGTTGTAATATTTGGCTCACATTTTGTGTGATTTGTGTCAGTGTCTTCATTCTCACCGTGGTCGTCTTGACTCGGCCTCCTGGCTGCGTGCAGGTCCAGCCAGACCGGTTGGTCAGGAGATCACAACCTTCATCGTCCAAACATGGAGTCATCGCGCACCACGTCCGATTCCTGACAATACGAACTGAGGCCAAGACAGAAAACAGCACAAACAGGTCTGTTTATTTTACATGATCTCTGTTTTTCACTTAATGTCTCGGACCTGGAAGACAAGTAAATTTTCAGTGTTTTAAAAAAATACTAATTTAAAAATCAAATATCAAACAGAACCCAAAATCAAAAGACTAAATCAAACCAGACAGCAACAAACAGCATCAATGAAAAATAACATTAAAAACCATCCATCACTGGTGTTCATGTCCAACAATCACTGTGCAAGAGGCGGGGGACACCCTGGACAGGTCTCCAGTCCATCATAGGGACACATAGAGACAAACAAAACAAACAACCATTCTCTCTCTCTCTCTCTCTCTCTCTCTCTCTCTCTCTCTCTCTCTCT